TCCAGTTTCCTTTTACACAAACTCCATGCCCCCCTTCATTCTCCTATCCCACCCCATGTCCATTATCCAAGGAGTGTAAAGCTTCCCATGGGGATCATCAGAAGCTGTACAATCTATTGGGTCAGTACCTAGGCCCTCAGAATGTATCTATCTTGAAAGAGTATCCCTTTCCCAAAGCCCATTAGTGCACTGGGGATAAATACAGATACAATTGACAAAGGTTTCAAAAACTGCCAAAGGACCCCAACTGACACCCACATTCAGGGTGTTTGGTTCAATTCTTTCTGGTTCCCCAGATGTCACACTGGGTCTTTGAACAGCCAGTTGCTCAGGTCAGCTTTTTCTGTGGGTTTCTCAAGAATGTTCTAGACACATTTTCTCATCACTCCTCCCTCTCTACACCTGGATTTCAGGAGTCTGACTCAGTTCTTGGATGTGAATGTCTGCACCTACTTACATCAGCTACTTGATGATGGCTTTATGATGCCATTTAAGGTAGTCATCAATCTCTTTATAGTGCACAGATTTTGATGATTATCTTTCACTAAGGACACACTGGAAACAGTGCAAACACAAAGCAGACCATTTCTATTTTCACAATCTTGGAAGAAAAGTAGTGTGGGGAGATGCTTGCTGTCTGGGATCTCCCTGCACAATAGGCACAGAACAACAAAGAATTTGTCTCTGTCCCTGCACAGGACTATAAGCTGTATGTCAGGTCCTGACTTTTCCCCTTCACGTTGAAATCCTCAAACACATACACATTGGTTAGTAACAGATGCAGCATCATATACTGCCAAATTGACACACACAACTAGACTTCAAGACCTGCTGAGTCCCCAATCCTGAATAGCCTAATTGTACACATAGAGACACATAGGAGAGGGAGAAGGTGAAGGAGAGAGAAGTGGAGAGGGAGCAGAAGAGGAGGTAGAAACAGAAGAGCATGAGGGCAAGAGAGAGAAAGCTAGGTATTGGGTCCAGTAGGTCTCCCCTAACCAATAGTCTTAGCATTCACCTGTTACACACATACAATATTATAATTCCAGGTCCTAATACATTTCCTATTCCCTTCCTTCCAAAGCACTCTACCTGGGACTAGATATCATGTCCCTTAAGTTGGTCCCAGCCTTACAGCCACAAATTCCCCATGCATTGTACTTGTCTGATTTACCTCTTCTGTAGCCACTGACATACATATACAGACACACACGGTAGGATGAGTGAGGTTAATTCTAGCTAACAAATAATATACCTATAAATACACAGAGAGAGAGAGAGAGAGAGAGAGAGAGAGACAAAGAGAGAGAGAAAAAGAAAGAGGCTGAGAGAGAGAGAGAGAGAGAGAGAGAGAGAGAGAGAGAGAGGGAGAGAGAGAGAGAGATTCCTGCTAGGTAGAATGAGGTATCAGTTTTTTAATGCCAGATATCCTTCCATTCAACCAAAGCCCCACTCTGTCACCCCAGTGGTGGTCCTACCAGCTGTCCCACTTTTGTAACAAAAATCCTCACACAATACATTGCTGTGCCTATTTTTACCAGTGATTTTCTCCTGCATAGCCTAAATCTGACATAGTCAGCCCTTGCTAAGTACTCCCTCCTCTAGAGCTAAACGTCCCAAGAGAAATACAAGTCAGATATCAGTCCTTCTTGGCAGCCTTTTTCTTAAAATAAAAGCGTCCAATAAAAAGATAGGTATCTGCCTAAAACTGAACCAGGCACCCTGAACAAGGGTGTCAATAGGAAGGCCTGAGAAGCCTATGCATCATCTGGTAGTGGAACTAGTTATTATCTCTACTTTATGAATGGAGTTTGGGTGACAATTTTCTATGGAGGGATACACTTTTGTAAAATTATTTTGATCATTTTCCCCTTTGGCCAATTGCTACCATAATCTATTTAAACCCCTACCCATCTAGTGTTATGGTCTTTCTCTATTTCTTTATAAAAAAAAACACACACAACCCCAAATACAATCATAAGAAGCAGTCTATGCCTATTAAATGTGCCCAAACTGGGAAATGAGGCCCAAAGTCTACCTTTTCTATTGAGCTGATTTAAGGATTTGCAAATGATACCCCCACATGGGTTCCCCCAAGAGGATTAGTTACTATACTGAGTGAGAATTCACTGGGGGAAACTTATGCTTCCTTGGCTATCAGGAAACAACTTCAGATGTGTCCTTGGTTAGGCATGGAACCCTGTTTCTACTACCCCCCCCCTTTTTTTTTTTTTTTTTTTTTTTTTTTTTTTGCTAGAATCCACATCTGGTTTGAACCTTCATATGCTTCTGTATATTTCCACTGTCTATGTGAGTTCCTGTGATCATCAGTCCTGTTGTATCTGAAATACATTGCTTCCTTGGAATCATCTATTACCTCTGGCTGCTAGTATCTTTCCTCTACTCAATAGCTCACTGAACCTTGAGGGAAATTTTTCATGAACTCCCTCACCATTTAGAATTAAGTATTATAAAGTCACTCATTCTACACTTATGTGTCTCTGTGGTATTTCTACATCCTGCAAGAAAGAATGCCATTGATGTGGGATGTTTGAAAAGTTAATCCTTCAGTATAGCAGTATGTCATCAAGAGTCATTTTATCACTATATTCCTTTAGAAGGATAATAGTGTCAGGTTGCCCATTGGCCCATGACCTATCTACTCAGATTCTTGGACACATTAGCAGTGTCAGTTATGTCCTCTATTTCCTGGAATGAGTCTTAAACCAATCACAAGAGGTTGGCTATTGACAGTATTTATGCCACAATGGTATCAGTCTATTTTGCAAACATGTCACTGATGTCCTACAGTTTGTAGCTGGGTGATATTGATGTTTGTCTTTCTCCCTCATTAGAATGCAGACTACATTCCTGTATCATGATTGTGAGTCAGTAGTGGTGAATCTTGTATGTATGCATCAGCTCAATTTTTCCGTGTTGGGGTTTATACATGAGTGTTGTTTTCAAAAATAAGACACAACAATAAGGTTGCATACAAACAAAAGTCTTAGCAGTATATATAAGCTTTGGAGCTTTTCCTGGGGCCCATGTTCAGCTGTTCAATGAGATTGAACCTAATCATGTCACTGAACCAAAATATTTTTGAGATGTTTCTTTAAATGAATATTGAATTATGTTTCTCATTATTCTCTGCTTTTTTTATATATACCTCTTCTAAGTTGTGTTGCTTACACAAGTTTAACAATTTGCCATTTTCTCCAGCTTTCCATTTCATGACAGTATACATTTTAAAAATACTTCCAAAATAAGAATCAAAAGAACCAGATAGTTCTGGGACACCACAGGAACATTACCCAGAGAGAAACTGACTGGTACTCATAGGGGCTCACAGAGCTCAGGGAGCCTGTAGGAGGCCTTAGCCAGAACCTCTGCTAAGTAGCCTGATGTTATTGTAGAATTCCTAACAGTGAGAGGTGGGTGGTCACTGACTCTTTTGGCTACTTATGCTACCCTTTCCCTTCGACTGTGTTGCCCAGTCTTATCGTAGCATGTTATGCCATATTTAGTTGGTGTTCCTCAGAATCATGACAATTTCTGAGGGGACATGGAGAGAGGTAAATTTTGGGAAGAGAAGGGAAAGTTTGAGAGAGGGGAAAGAGGGTAAAATATGGTCAGGGTATGGAATAAAAAAACACTAGGAAACTTCATAAATTTGAATGGGAAATATTTTGGCATCATTGACCTCCTAGCTAGACTTTTTATTATATCACTCTATGGAGAACTGAGAAATCTTGGGACATTATGAATATACAGATTTATCATCTTATTGGGAAACATCATACCTATACCATCTACCCTCAAAGAAACATGGTGAGATCTGAAAATATAGGAGAAGTTGAATAAAAAAGTATAAATTGCATAATCATGTATGAAACTATCAAAACCATAGAAAGAATAAATAAATTGAAAATACGTTGTATATGTATACATGATAGACATTTTGGATTTCTGAGAAATGTTCCAGGATTTGAGTTTTCATGGAAGCAAATGATTATTAACTAATAAGGAATGGTTTTCTACATTATTTATAGACCACTTTTCCATATGTTGTTGAGAAATGTGATATCATCATATTCAACAAATTATGTCAGAGTAAAATATAGAGTTTGGGAACTGCAATAATAGGTAAATTGGATGGCTGATAAATTATTACCATAGAATGTGGTAATGGAAATCTTTTTCTTGAAAAACACTTCATTTCTTTCCCACAGCCCAGGAAAGAATTTGATATATTGTATATCATGATTGTAAATTTTCCCTGTGATTTAATTATTTCCTCAGGAATGTTGATTCTCTGTTACTATTTGTACTCTATAATTTTATTAGGAAGTACTTAAAGTGTTTACTATTACATTATTTCCATTGCTTAGGTTATTGAGAAATTAGTACTTAAAAAAGAACAAAATTATTCCCCAGAATGGTTTTGAATGACTTGGTTTGCATAGATTTATTAATACATTTTCATCTTCAAAAAACATACACATATTTTTGATACCATCTCCCAACCAACTGGAAACCCCAGTAAGTTTATATAATAAACAAAACCAAATAATTCTTTACATTCCATCCATTTTTGCTGTACCAACACCATGGTTTAGCTATAGATATAAACTGTGATTTGTCCTACACAATCACTTTTTTCTAAGGTTGGGTCTGTTTTAATTTACTCATTCAAAAATCAAGCAATTATGTGTTTGCAATGTTCATTATAATTTATTTAATAGATTCAGATTTGATTCAGTTCTCATCATCTGTATGTTTTCCAGGATTTTTTTTTTTTTTTTTTTTGAGTTCAGTTTTTTTTTATCTGTGACTCAGACTTTCATTGTCAGTTTACCTTACAACTTCCCCATGTATAAACCAAAAGCTATAAAATTTACTCAAGACCTGTTTCTCTTTTATTTTAATCTGTTCTTTTCTCAGTTGGTGTTGCCATAGAGACTAACAAGACGCTCACTAACAAGACCAGTGAGGTGACCATGGAGCTGGACCTGAAAGCCAGCACCTCTGAAGAGGAGACCTTGACAGATCACTATGTCATCCTCGAGACCCTTGGCAAAGGGACCTTTGCTGAGGTGAAGTTAGCTTACCATCTTCACACAGAGGTGGAAGTGGCTATCAAGGCCCTGCAAAATGGAACCAAAAATGACTTGAGCATTAAAACGGAAATCGACCTATTGAAAATGTTGAACCACCCACACATTATCAAATTGTTCCATGTCATCAACACCAAAGAATACACCTATGTGGTGATGGAACATGCTGCTCGTGGAGATCTGGTGAGCCATGTTGAGAGGGTGGGCAGTCTGCCCGAGGAGCAGGCCCAGGACATGTTTGCACAGATAGTGTGTGCAGTTGAGTACTGCCATGAGAATGGCATTGCACACAGAGACATCAAGCTAGACAATATCCTGCTGGATGGCAAAGGGAACATCAAGCTTTGCGACTTTGGTCTAGCCACGCGAGTCACCCCTGGCCAGGGCACCAAGGGATTCTGTGGAACCCTTGAATATTGTGCTCCTGAGCTATTCTTTAAAGAAGAATACGACGCGAAAGCAGTGGATATATGGAGCATGGGAGTGGTTTTATATGCAATGGTGACAGCATCCTTCCCATTCAAATCCAAGACCTACACAGAAATGAAAGAGGAGATGCTGGATCCCAAGTATCACCTCCCATATTCACTTTCAGAAAGCTTAGCAGATATAGTTGTGCAGTTGTTCACTGTGGAGCCTGAGCTGAGGCCCAAGATTAGTGGCATTAGGCAACACCAGTGGCTCAAGGCAAAGGAAGAATTTAACACCATCACACCATCCAGAGAGGCACTCAGTAACAACCCGAATCCCAGTGTTGTTGTGGCAATGTGGAATATGGGCTATGACCCCAAGGACATTAGTGCTTGTCTACGGGAGAAAAAATTCAATAATGTCATGGCCACATACTTAATTTTATCCCACAAGTCACACCTCGACCATTCAAAATATGCTGGGAAGTGTTTGCCAGCCTGTCTTATTAAGAAGACCCCAGCTGATGCCCTCACTCATGTCCCTTCTCAGAGGGGACTCAGTGAGCTTTCTCTACCCACCATGCTGGAGAAACACCAGGTGCTTAATGAGGAGGGATCAAGCAAGTGGCAGATGAGAAGCCTGAGCATGCCTGCCACCTTGTGCTGCCATCAGAAGGAAAACAAATGTCCACCATCAGCCCCTAAATTAACTCGGAAGATCATGCATATCAAAAGCAGAAAATTGGCAGTAGAGAGCAGGATTTGCAATTCCTCAAGCTCAAGATCCCTGTCCTCTGAGAGCATTTTTTCTGCAAACTCTTTCTCCTGCAAGTCAAACCACAAATTAGACACCACCAACAGTGGCACATACACTCTGAGTACACCCTCTGTGAGGAGTTACAGGGAGGTACCTCATAGTGTGAAGTACAAAGTGACCTATGACATCCAGAGATCTTCTCTTCTGGCTAAATCTAAAACCACCTTTGAGGATCTTCCTCCTGAAGGCATAAGTGATATCCAGATATCTTTCCTTCAGCCAAAAATCAAGAAAAGCTTTGATGATATCCCACCTGAAGGAAAACCTGAAATTCAGAAATCATCCCTTCAGGAAATCTCCAAGAATACCTTCGACAATGTCCCTAAAGAAGATGTAATTGATATGCAAGGACCTTCTTTCCAGACAACACCCAGGAACAGCTCCTGGGTCTCTCCTGAAAACCTAACTAAAGTTCAGAGACCTTCCCTTCTAACAAGGTCCAAGAATAGTTGTTATGACGTGCCAAATGAAGGCATAACTGCAACATCTGCCATCCATATATCCACATCTGCCAGCTGTCTATCCACAACATCTGCCAGCTGGCTATCCCGAGCCTGGAAGAGGGTTAAGAGGAGAACTGGAAATTGTGTGAGACTACTATGCTGCTGCCTGCCAGCCTCAAAGACAAGACATGATTCTCAGAAAGAAGTGGACACAGAGGCAGTGGAGAATGGTGCCATGACACACACACATCAACATGGGGTGCCCAAGATGCACACCTGCGTTTCTTAAGCTACATATTTTTAATGTCTCTGGAAACCATCATATTATAATTATGAACATAAAAATTAACAAATCTCATTTGTAAAGGAACAGTCCCATAGCACAACCACAACAATTAGCATGAAATGATTAAGCTAAAGGTAGACTGCAGAGGACGAGGAGCAGAGGTTGAACAGGTAGCAAGAATTAGTTAAAATAGGAAAGGCTAAGAGAGGACTAAATGTTTTTTTTTTTTTTGGAAGAAACTCCAAAGGCCAGAGAACTACTTGTAAAATGATGACACAGGAAGAAATAAGACTCGAGTATCTGAACTATATATTTCAAACTTCTTAAGACTATATCTTATGTATGTCATTACCTTCTGAAATGATAACTCTGTATGAAAGTTGAGACATGGGGCAGGCATTTTCCTGGTCTGACTGAGACTGCTGAAGTGGGAGCCCTGCAGGAAGTCAAGATGGTAGTGTGTCCCCTAACCCAGTAGAGAAGCCCAGCACAGGAGGAGGTAAGACATAACCTAACACAAGATTCTCCATAGAAAATCATAGTTAACAAGGCTATGTCCCATGGATGGCCTTCCAAAGCCTTCATCTTAGGGTGAAGCCTTGTGTCAAAATTCATCTGCAAAGTGCCCATGAATTAAAAGTTAATGAGCTATTCTTTTGGATATACCTCAGGAATACTCATTCTATTTTGCTTCTCTTCAAGATCAGATCCAAGTGAGAAGTCTTCTCACTCTGGGCGAGAGGTGATCCTCCTCCTCCCTCTACTTTCCTTCGCTGCTATTGTGTTTGCAGTCTGCCTATATACCTTTTTCTTTCTGATCACATGAGACACTGACCCTTTGCATGCTGCTGGTTCAGTCTTTCTGTCGGTGAAGGGGCCCTTACTTGGGACATTTGTCAGAAGCTTGTTTGTCTCCATACAGGAAGAAGACGGCCAGCTGGAAGGAAATGGGTACCACAGTGGATGGAATGCTGAGATATTGCTCCACTTCAGAAGGTGGGTATTGCTTGCCTGTCTTGGAACACAGTAGACACAGGACTTAGTCCACTAGAACTGCTTTGTATTCAAATCTCACATCAGAGGAAAAATTGGTGTGTGGCAAGCTCAGTATAACCTAGGATAGGTAATCTAAGAATATAACTGACTGCAGAACCAGGTGCTTGTGTTTAAGAAGGCAAATCTCAGTATGAACCACTGTGTTGTCTACTTCTGTTTACTAATAATATTTGCCTTATGTCTGATGGGAAATTTGTATATACCTGCTATGAAAGGTACCTTACAGCCCTGAGCATAGAAATCTGCTGAGGCACTGCTCTACCAGCCATCACCACTCTCATTCACTGCCTTTCTGCTGGAAGAGAACGATGAGGGCATTCAGTCCCAGCTTCCTATAGCAGGACCTACCTGAATGCCATCCCAAAGCTCTCCACAGGTATCCTCCTCACAGAATATAGGGATGACTTTTTGCCATGCTCTTTTGGCACTATTTCAATTGCAACCACCGGCCAGTTGACAATACATTGAGACCAATTTGGTATAGGTAGGTCATCTGAAGTCTCATAGTTCAACAGCAGATCTCTTATGGGCATCTTTTCTCTCCTATATTTCGCAGGGTCTTTTGGGAAGTAACTTTTCTGGAAGCTCATTTTCACCAAGTATGTATCCTGTCTAATTTAGAAAAGAGGGCAGGAGATGGAAAACAGGAAGATGAGTGCCTATGTTTAGATATGTTGCTGGCAAAATACTTTTCTCTCTTAGCACCTAGAGCCTTATTCCTGCAAAGCATCAGGGCACACATCAGACATCCCTGAAAAGACCCTATTGATATTGATCAAGGGAAAGTCATATTAGAAGACAATGGGCATTATACCTGTTTCTTGAGTCCCTGAATTACACTAAAATTAAACCTGCTAGACAACAAGTCCTTGCTTTGTGAAGCCAGTTTTTACTTTGGTCTATAATGTTCTTTCTCTTGTATGTTCTTTCCCAGATCCTGAAGCAAATACCCCAGGGATTCCTGATCAGATGATCTGAACACTTAACTCTGTGAGCAATGGTGAAAAACTATCAGGTAATTTATTGATCTCTGAGGATCTCAAGGAAAAGTCTGTTTTTCATACATGCAGCCACAAACCACCTCTCACAATTCTTTTCTAGGTCTGGGAATGAGGAAAGTATTCCAATAGATATGTTAATGTAGAATCACCACCACTCTGTGAAGTTGTGTCTAATTTTACAGGACAAAAAGTTCACTTATAACTTTCTTTCCTCAAAGATGACCCAGGAAACCTGCCTGAACAGATTACAAATGTACCCCAGCAATACACTGTGAAGCTAGTTTGAATCTCTACATAAAACCTACACTGGATTGCATGAGAAGTACAGTGTGCATGGACCCTGTATCCCAGGCCACCAATAACATGGAGAAGGTGTCCTTGAAGTCATCCACTTGTATGGTTTCTTACTGGTGTTAGACAGAGACTTTGTACAAAAGAACCAAACTGAAGTTATTGAAGAAGAATTCTAAGAGAATATACAAAAAATTATATTCAAGATACTTATGATGTCTGTAGAATCTAAGGAATATAATCTTTCAGATTATCCTATTCCTCAGCAGCAGTTTATGTTGTTAGTGGGATAAATCTTATTTTAGATGTTCTGAAAAATGACATCTGATGCCCAAACAACAAATGTAACAACCAGCTGCGCCTAATCCTAAAAGAGATGGCAGACTCCACACTTATGGTTCTGTAACATTATGCAAAGTCTCAGATACCCATAAAGTGGACAAGAGAGGAACAGAGTCTGGACACATGGAATACAATCCCAGCAAAAGACCCACCTGAATCATGAAATCTTATTTTTGTCAGAAGCACCCAGAAAAATCAAGGCAGAGAAAAATGGTCTGTCTTAAAGGACTTCAGGACAAGTTTGCAAGAGCCAACAATAAGGAACCTGTTAGAAAACTGAATGAATCTCAAATCTTGCAGCTGATTCCAGATTCAAACACTGCAAAGTTCATGTGAGAGTTACAGAAGAGACCTGTGTAAGTTCTGCTTCATATGGAGAAGACCACAAACAACAGAGAAGATGAATTTTGGTTTCATGAGCTCTGATGCCTTCAGTCAAGAAAATACAGGAGCTGGAGAATGGACAAGGACACTACATCCAAGGACATCTAGAGAGATCCTGGACACTCTGATTCCCCAACAAACAACAAGATGATGGTTCAGTGCTAGGCAGCATGAAGGGAATGTCTAGGCAGACAGGATGAAGTGCTCGGCTCAGCTCTCTTTTACACCCATTCGACACTCAAGATTTCTTTGAAGATATTGACTAGAAGCATAGTGATATCTATCCAGAGCTGGGTGCTACTTCTAGCTGTCTGCTTCGGTTTTGGCTCTCAAGAACCTGAGCCCACTATAAGAGTGAGATTGAGCATAGGAAAAATGTGACTTGCTGGAGCTGGTAAGTCTCCATGCTGCTGCTCCTTCAGCCCTGAAAGCCTAGAGTTGCACATTCCCATGCCTGTTGCACACACACTATTAGTAGTAGTCAACCCATGCAGAACACATCACCCTCCTTCTTCCCTGGAGAGAATACTTCACACCCAGGCTGTGCTGAACTCTCTACATTTTGTAAATCACCTAGATGTCAAGGCCTGATGGACACCTGCAGCCCACAATCCACACATACATTCAGAAGTCAGGCCTCACCTGATACTTGCTTTACTAGCACACATGCATATACCAAAGTATACATACAACACTATATATCAGTTCAGGATGCACCTTCCTTCCCTACCCACACGCCAGTAGGAGTGAAACCTTACAGACATGTTCCCTCCAGCAGCAATGCTCAAACATCATTGCCAGTAATTGTTACTTGCTAATATGTCATCCTCTCACATCTCCCCAAATACACTGGGTTGTATTAGAAGCAGCTCCCCCAAAACCTCATAATTTCCTCCATGTCAGTCCCTGCTGTACCCCAACTGTGAAGCCAACCATACAATCTGTATTTAATCTGCAGATTCACCTACAGAGTCACTTCTGTAGCCCCACTGGCACACACTACTCCTCATTGACACTCAGTGCCCACTCATATTCAATAGGCCATGCAGTACGTTTCCCTATTAGAGCTTGGCTGTGCATTTGCAATGGAAGTGAGGTCAGTGTATGTGAGCCTGTAGCAGCCAGGGAGAGGATATTAACCAGGCCTGATAACTAGCAATGAATATAGGTGTCATCAATGTTATGTGTATCAGGTAATCATACCTACAAGTCTAGAAGAGTGGTGGACACAATTTGCTACCCTTCTTCTACACCTGTAGGAATGATGCCCTGATACACACACCAATGATGGCTTTTATATTCATTGCCAGTTATCAGATGTTCTTGATGGAAGTCGGAGGAGCAGACAGTTTTTCCTGGCCTAAAGACTTCCACTTTATCTGCAGTATTGGGGAGAATAAGGCATTAATTTGCATGCTTTATAGCACTGTGTATTAAATGACCACGGGGAGGTGAAAGTGTGTTTCATGGAATGATGATGGCTGATACCTCTGTGTGGAATGGAGAAAAGATGTCCAGCTGAATCTGATAATGGTACTGTATTATATGGGACAATTAGGTTGGGAGAAGAATAGAGCCTGATACCTAGACACTTACATGTGCTATGCATGCCCCTCCTTCTGTTAACACCTTACGTGCAATGCCAGTTTAAGGACACACACACTGTCATACACACACACACACACACACACACACACACACACACACACATAGAGAGAGAGAGAGAGAGCCTCCAATACACTTCTAATTATTGGGGAATTTATGGCTTCCCACAAAACCACACACTGAATGCTAGGTATTAGACAATGATAACCAAACCATCAGACAAACCTCACATGTTACTCCTAGGTCCGGATTCTGAATGTCACCCACAGTATCTCACTTTACCCAAATACCCTGCCAGTTATTGGGCCCCACTTGAAACACTGA